TGAGGGAGGGAATCCTAAAATCGTTAACGTTGATATTTAGTTGGGGACTGTCAGCCCTACCGTGCATGCCCGGTGGATAAGCATTCATCAGAAAAGCCGAAGCGACAACTTCGACCAATACTTCTGATACAGTGCTGTTTTTGATAGAGGACATCGCGCTCTGCAAAAACTCGTGCAGGAATTCATCTTTCTTCTCGGTTTGGGGGAACCCTATGCGAGCTTGAGCCAGCAGATCTAATGGCGATGCTTTCCAGAGCTGACCATTGACTGGAACACTTGCATTCCAGAGTGCGCTCAGATGAAATGCAGAAAACCGACCACAGACTATTTCATCTTCGGCGTGGACTGACTGCAGTTTCTCGGATATAAGGGCCCACAACGGCTCAAAAGCGATCGTGTCAGAAAGACTGGATCTTGAACTCAGATCTAGGAATGTGATCCTTCCTCCCTCGACTATCTGACGCAGTTTTTCATATCTTGGTGAGGCAATCGCTGGCCCGTGAATGTTCTTATTGAATATAATGATCACCTCGGGTGAAGTTCGAATAACTTGACTCCCGACTTGCAGCTGCCTATGTGGTTGCTGGAGCAAACTTTGCGTGGCTTTGAGATCGGATTCGGATTCGACAAACAAGCACAAGACCCGAGTCCATGGTAGGACGAGCTGTCTTTTTGTTTCTTCCTGTATTGATTCAGCGAAAGACAAGCCTCCCGCCTTCGAGAGTGCGTATTTTCGATGCTTGGTGGTCGCGTGTCTGAGCCATTTGGTATCGCCAGTATTGTGCTGTAAGCATAGACTGCTCTCAGCAATCATGAGAGGGGTATCCGTATTGATAGCCTTATGGTCAATATGTAGGCGGATCAGCCCATTAGCACCCTTGCGGGTGACATTATTTTGTGGAAGGAAAGATCGCAGGGCTCTGATTCGGCTTTTATGACCCGCAAAGTAAATTAAATCCGGATATTGGCGTTCAGGAAACGGCATCCCCTTCACAAGCTCTCCTAGACGGTCCGTATCAACGACAGTCCAATCCTCTCCTTCTCTGATAATATCTAGCCAAGCCGCCATCACGAGTGCTAGCAGCCTCTGGGTTAGGAAGGCAAGTTATAAGGCTGGTAGGCTCTTATATCTGAAAGTTCGTTCTAAACGCCGATTGTGTGGCCTCATATTCATTTCTTGATCCAGAAATCAGCAGCATAAAAGTGGTTTCAGTTGTGCGTCTCTCAAAAGCTCCCTAATATTTACGCCCAGGAACACATATTATAGGCTCATGATCATAATTGTGATGAAGCCATTACAAATACTACCTCCGTCGATTTCGTATTGCTTGATTCCCAACTACTAAGCTTCGAACCCGATAACACCTCTTAATGTTAGCTGAAATTCATATAAATATGCCACATAGTATTGGATTTCGACAGATAGAGATCTTTTTCTTTACAAGATCCAGGAAGCATGCCTACTAATTCCCAAGAAACGCTGATTTCGTCTCCAGCACGAATTTATCCAAGGGAGAATGTTACCTTGGCTAGAGAGACCCTTCACAGTCCCAGCGACACCAAAGAAGACCAATATTTAAGAATGCTCAAGGAAGAGGACCAAATGGACGTAACCTTCAATATCACAGCAAGTGCGGCCAACTGGTCGCTTCTAGCCGGATACCTCGTCATTCCTGGTACCTTCGCATCACTCCAGACATCAAAAGAAATCGAACATGTTTTGACGTCCAACAAAACGGGCCGCGTTATATTCCACACCATTCAGAATCCACCATTGCTCGGAATTGCCTGTTTGTTCCTCGTGAGCGGCATAGCAGCAATGCTGTGGCTACTCCACTTCCCACACCTAAGGGGCAACTACGTGTGGCTGACGAACAAGATTTTCATGTAAGTGGGACTTGGGTACTGTAATGGCCAGAAAGTTGAAACCGCAACTAACTAATATGCCAGGCCAGTGACTTTGAATGCCGGTGCGGGACTGCTTACCACCTTGATCAATGTCTTCGCATCAAATGGAGGAATTTGGTCGGTGATGGCTATAGTGACAGCTGTTGTCACTGGGGCAATATTTATCATCTTTTTGGCTGTTTTGCTAGTTTACAAGCTCTATAAACTACCACCATTCAACGGACAAAGAATTGGTCTCCAAAATCCCGCACACCCACGCATGGGAGATTTCGAAACATCTGCAGCGGGTAATAACAAAACCTGAAGAGTGAACTGTTCTCTTACTGCGGGTGCTTTTTGAGATTCATACGGCCAGGGAGCTATGAGGATGTATGTTGGAAACCAAAACAAACGAGAATTTGTGGATTTTTCCGGGCCCTCGTCATGCGTTTTGTCCCGAATCAGATATGGATTTGACTTATCCTCTCGGCAGTAAAGAAATTTGAATTAATATTGCAGAGTTTTTGGACCATATAAGCATAGCAGCATTGTAGAAACCAGGCTTGTCTATTGTAATTGTCTGGCAGGGTAGCTTAAGGCCATTTCTTAACTGATTATCTACGATCTCACATCAGATTGTACTCATACGCTTGCTCGCGAAGGAAAGATATGACATGGCTGTCATTATTTATGTACTACGAAGAGGGCATGCTACTTGTATATCAATCTCTTCGGATCCAAATATCAACGAATTTCACAAAAACTCATCGCCTCCCTCCCCGCCCTTTATACTGTATGTTGTACGCCTATTTGATGACGACACAGTCTCTCGCTACAAACATTCGGAGTTCGGCCCAAACTGACTGTACTACCTAGGCCGCTGCTATAGATATAACAACTGGCTGAATCACAATTTCATCTCTGTTTTCCAATCTGTGCTCTGTTTTTCAATCTGTGAAGCTGCTGATAGATAGTTGCTGAGTGAAACACGTATAGAGCGCCGATATATAAGCCTGTCCCCCCTTGCTACTATTTCACTGAATTGAGACTCTAACCCAAACTATGCTTTCAGTCAGTTTCTGAAGGTTGAATGTTTTTTTCTCGGACTTTAAACTCTATTATACTACTAATCTTAAATTGGTATCAGCCACCCTCCGTGGGGAGGGCCTCATCTTAAGATCAAGGTGCGCAGAAAATGTACTTGATGATATAAAATTCACAGTTGAGATTCGATCTATTTTATTTCGGAGGCAAGTGCTTGCATAAAGCCCAAGGAATGTTGGAATCTCTATTTTGATGAGCACCCATGCATAGCTGAAAAGTTTTCTGATGTATGGTTTATGTATAATCATGATTCAAAGCATAGATCAATTGCTTTTAGGAAGAATATAAAGAGTCCTGGTTGTATCCCGCATGCATTTATCATAAGATTTCATTTCTCAGCATCAGCCACTCAAAATGTCACCTCGTCATTATAAAGGCCCAAAGAACGGCATCATAAAAGCTCAATCAGCGGTTACGGGCGATAAGAAACTCTCCAACCTCGCAGAACAGGGTCTTTTGGCCCTTGAAGATATCATTTCTCGGTCCAAGAAAGATGATTGCGCGCAACAAACTGTATCTGTCGGTGTGATGAATGAATTCAAAAATCATGAAGACGCCGCATGCCATCATACGAGTACCACAGATGAGCAACGCCCCGAGCCCAAAGATCAGACTAGATGACAGAGTTTGAATGGAATGACAGTCCTGCCGACGCATAAAATCTCGAAACAAATTACTATCATAAAACATGGGCAAGAGACGGTGTTGGAATCATTCCTTTGAATTTGTCTCTTATCTTTTGATGCTGTGCGGCCTTGATACAAGTGAAACGAGAAGTTTCAAGAAGTATGGTTGAGCAGGTTATCTATTTGTTACTATTTAACCTTCCAGCAAAATACAGGAAACGAAGCTTTTTACAGTATAAAACCCTTTTTTCGGTAATTCAAATAAAAAGAACCTTCACTATAGAGCACCACCATAAGACAAAAACCTCATTGTCATTGCTAGGAGATCAGAGAATACTCTCAAGCTAAATGTTCCTTCTTCCCAGACATAATTTTTGCTAGATTCAATGATTGATGTAGAGGCAGCATAATCAATATTTCTTTTGTGCTATTTTACTCTACATCCAACAGTGCTTCTGAGAAGAAATATAGACAGCATCCCTGGTGGAATTTAGGTCATGACTCTGTCGCTCTCATACGAACAAGCAGTCCCGATAGCATTCTAATGAGAAATGATTCTGCTCCTATGAATAAATACCGCCCACTCCAGCCCTGGGCATCATGTTTGAGCATATATTCCTGTTATACAGCCCAGCCGACGAGATTCATTTATACGCCCTGGGATTCATCCTCTCTGCCAATTTTATGCCACCCTTGATCGTTTCACCTCACGGAGTCTGGCAAAATCTTATGGATTGGCTTGGGGTATTGTAATTTCTTGAAGATAGACAGTGAGCACATAGCAATAGATTCAATTTCTGGCAAACAGTGGAGCATAAGACTTACCAGTTGATCTTGTGAAAGTGGCCAACCTTCCAAAGTCGTCACCAGTGTGTAAATTTGGCCAGAACCTTTCATCCGAATGCTCAGATAAATATCAGCAGCACATTCAGAACTGTATTCAGACAGCTTCTTGAAAAGTGTTTCCCTTCTTCTTCGAGCTTTTTGATTGGATGGACGTCTGGATTTGGCTAATGGGCGCGGAGAATTATCCATTGTGGCGCAGATTTTGGACTTGAATCAGTCGAAGTAGTCAAATAAAATCTGAGATCAGGCACGTCCTACTATATAACTGCGGTGCTGTCCCTAAAGAACATTAATCTCAATCAAAAAAGAATGTTCTATCAATGGAGCGACCGGTTTTCACGGTTTAACGGGCGGCATCAGCTTCTGTGAAACTTCAACGTTTTAGCAACAAACCGGCATCAACGATTTTATTTTCGGCATCAACGATTTTATTTTCATTCATTGAAAACATCCGGCAGAGCTCGTGTGTGATTAAATTACAATCATAATGCAGTACTCACGTCTTGCTTTTCTGATTATTACTTCTTCGACATAGCATCAATTCTTGCATGATGTACCCAAGTGCCAGTCTGAAGAGACTGAGCCGTATTCCAGACTACCCCAAGCACGCCATAACCAGTTGACGATCTCATATTCGACCAAGGCGGCAAGGCGGCCTGTGTGATATAAGAAAATCAATCGCACCTAGGAGCAAATGCACCAAGCAAAACACTCGCAATTGTATATTCGAGATTCAGTGATGGGTCTCGTTCAGCTGGCGATGCTTTCTGCATATTGAAATGTTTCGTTTAGTTCCCATACATAATTTCAAAACAGAAAATCTCTCCTTGAATGCAATCTTCTTCTGGTTGCTGCTTTGAAGCTTTCTCCGTGGAATATTTCTGCTATTTGGGACCCAAAGTTGGCTAAAATCACCTTAGGCGGCATACAGAAGGCGACTTGGTTCGTTCCCACCTCACCATGACGTCATCTAAACTGAACTATATGACAATAGTACCCTGAATAATCTGCCAATAGCTGCTGATGATAGTGACTTCCCTGCAAGCTTCGCCAAGGCAGTTTTCAAACTCCTCCGTATGAAAATGTCAATCATATAGGAAAAGCCAGACAATCCGCCTTTCAGGGAGTGCAACACACGGCGGTAGATCTTGTCCAATCTGTCTCACATCCGATCTCGAGCCAAGTGAAAGCTCGGAGTGGAACTTGATTAAGTTGTTTGCAGGTGGCTGTCCTTCGGATGTATCATAGAACTTCAATGGTTTGTCGAACACAGACAATGATCTGATACTTCCTTTCACGATCCCAGAAGATATCCACCCAGGAAAATACACCTCAGCTTGGACTTGGTTCAATAAAATTGGAAACCATATGTACATGAACTGACAGTGGAGTGAAAATCATCAGCATGTCGCTGGAGATGTGTGATCCCTGCAAACTCCTCGTCGAGGTGCTTGGCACTATTTTCTTGAGATGCTTACACCGGATATGTTTTGTGACGCATTTCCCTCGAGCTAGGCAAGATCTATTTCAGATACTCTATCAACGTCACTTTCCGTTCCAGAGTAGTCAAACACACTTGGCGACGCTCATTTACGACTGGGATGGCTCATCATTTGATAATCTTGCTCCTCAGTACGCAAGAACGTAAGTTTGCAGATGCGACCGAGGTGAACGTTTGAAGCGTAGAGCAGTAGTAGACCTTGGACGAGCGAGAGTTTTGGGACAGGAAATTAGCCCATGTTAAGAACAGACGAGAAAATCCTACCTGATATTCTTGCAGAAATTTTCAAGAAAACGAATGGTACCGAAGCCAGGGGCCTGAAGGTATTCCGAATATAGAAGGATGGGGGCGCCAGAGTGGATCCGACGGAGCGAATGAGAGGCTACTACGGCGCCGCTGCGCTTCGCGTACTCCACAACATGACGGCGAGTGAATGTGGTGTATAGTCAGAGTGAGTGGCGGGAAATTTGGCAATGGGCGACTCAGAAACGCCCTGCCACCTTTTTCAGCCGGCTGCTTACTTGCCGCCATCGAGTTTGATATTCTGCAACCTCGTTGTATGCTTCTTCAAATTTCAACGTGACTTGAGGAGCACTCGATTCAGCATGGAATTTCTAATGGGTCATAAACCCTTGCTTGATACGAAAATATTGAATATGCATAGAAAATAGACAAAAAGAAAGAAAATCACTCGAATTTTATATCAAAGCTTGTTGAAAATTTCACAATGAGAAGCAGAATCAATCTCGAATCACAAAAGAAAAATCGGCCATAGGCTTTCAAAGGCCTGCCTTTACTTCAAAGTAATACAAGCTTGCTACTTAGGGCAAGGGCAGTCCAAGAGCTGGTAAAGGTAAGCGAGAAACAATTCCATGTGCACCTTGCGCATGATTCAGTAGCGCTGATTTAGACTCCAGCTGCTCTTCACAAATCGTGCACTCGTGTTGCGTATCGTTTGAGTACGGTTTGATATGTTTGTTCACGAAGTGTCGGCTGAGAGAACCTGCGTTCTTGAACATGCGCAGTCGTTCAATATCCGGCAGCAGTGGATTCCCAAGGCAGATAAAGCAAATTGTCGATCTCTTTTCTGGGGATTTGACGCAGACCAGAGTGATGGCTTGAGAAAAGGCGTCGTGCTCTGCATTTGAAACAGCCGACCTCTGCTTTTTTGGCACATGATCTGAAATGGCGACAGCATCGGAAGAGCGTTTTTGTATCGTATGGACCCGGGAAGGTGCGCCCTCTTCTACATCACAAACGGCAATCACTGCGTTGATCGCAGCTATTCTTCGCTCATACTCTTCCTCAGTAGTTGCACCGGGCATGGTCAGGACTGTGTCGATAAGCGTCATATGTTGTGGTGTCATATAGCCAGTACTTTCTAGCGCAACCTTGACCTCTGTGTCAACCATTTTCCCTGACAGCTGCCGTTCGCTATCAATCACCGGCTGTTCATTTTTGTAACGCTCCAGGTTCTCACGAATCAAGCGATGACGTTGTCGACTTTTCTCATTGCGTACTTGCTTCACTGAGCGGTCATACAGCTTCTCGGCGTGAAGATATTTCTTTTGAAGCGTCTCCGCATTCTTCTTTTGAGCTTTCCACCGCTTACAGATCGCTCGAAGGTAAGGGCCCTTCTGTGGTGGTCCATCGCCAAACTCCCGCTCCAGTGCAACTTGAGCTTCTTCGTAGGTGCACTTTTTCTCATCACGATTCCGCATTTTCTCTTCTTTCTTGCTTTCCAGGACACGTACACAAGGAATATCATTGATACAGCTCGAGTCGTCCAGTCGCCAGGGTCTGCGGGGATCAATAGACCGACTCATAGACGAGGCAAACCGCATCAGTTGCTTCTGAGCGGGCATGCCTCGCACAATTGCCTGGGTGTCTACGTGAATACCCACGCTGTAATGCCGAACAAAAGTATCGATGCTAGCGTGTTGCAGCATCACGTTTTGCAGCTCATTCGTTACATCCGCTGAATGTCGGATTAGCAAAAAGAATCATAATATTTGGTGTATCACTCACGACTATCGTTAAACGCTTTTGCTGCACCGTATCGGAGGCAGTACGGCTTTGCGACTTCAGCGAATCCCGTTATCTCACCACCCCGTTTCATGCGGTAGCTCAGCCAGCCCCGCGTTAGCTGCTGGTCAAGTGCGATTCTAATCCCATCGGGTTCCCGCAATGCTTGGCAGAACACATAGCTATCAAGAATTTCGTCTTTCAGCTTTAACTCCTGCTGGCCAAGTCCATCCAAAACACCAAGACTGTACAATTTCTCGGCGGAGTCCAACGTGGGCCCATTTGTAGAAAGAGTTTTGAATGCCTTGATCTTCAGGAGCATACCCAACAAAAAGATATGTGGACTCAGGACCAAAGTAGGATCGAATATAATCTCCGGGAGTGGGAACGTGTTTCTATTAATGATCATAAGCAGATTGGCGTGAGGATAACTCATAGGAGCTGGCCTCGTATGCAAATTGGAACTGATGATGCGACGGAGGCAGGAGGCCGCTGAGGAGAAAGAAGGAGGGGAAACAGGGCAGAGAAGCATAAAGGTAGACTAGGATAGGAATCACTTACGACTCTTTCTCTCCCAGGAATGATTTTGTGAACTCAGGTGTAAGATAAATGAAAAGTCGAGGGCGGTTTCCATTTGGATCTCGAATCAGTGTTAACATCAGGTCTCTAAAGCGTAGTCTCAGTAGCGCCCCGGGACGACTACCAGTGATAGCTGCCAGCTGACAGAAAAGAAGCAGTTGTATCCGATACCACCCACAAGGGAAAGTCATCTCTGTCGTGCATAGGATCACTCGGGCGAACTCAGCCACGTCTTCGATATACATTGTCGCTTTCGGGCGAGGCTTTAGAGAAAGTTTCTCCTCCTTCGCGACTATTGCCAGAACCTACAGAAAGTTAGCCGGGCACAATTCGCATGGACGTCAATAGTCAATTCGAAATCTCACATCGCGGATTTTGACCTGGATATCTCCGCTAAGGCCATGTCCAACCTTGGCCTTGTAAATGAGATGCCACCACTTCCAGAATGCGTCTAAGGAGCTTTTGGTTTTCAGCCCTGAGACATAGCGTCCTTTTTTCCCTCGTCGCTGTCTGCAACGCCAGGAGAAGAGCGCCTTCAGGAAGCGCACCGTCTCTTCTGTATCAGAGAGTCGAAACAAACATTCCACCGGGTCAAGTTTCGCGCCCTTGCAGAATCTAGATCGATTAGAATTTGAGAGCTGTAAGCAGGTAGACAATTTCTTACTTTTCCCAGTAATCTCGAGTTTCACTCAATCTCTCTTCAGTTTTCGGACTATATCGTTTCTGCCGAAGCTGAGAAACGTCCAGGGACTCCGCCTCCTTGAGAAAATATTCTGGTGAGAGTTCCACTTCGACTTCAGACCCATCCTCAGATCCATATTCTGCTTCGCTGTCGGAATCGGGATCACTTAGCGCGCTGTCGGTGTCGGTGTCGACGTCGGAAGCGTTGGTCGAGAAGATCGCGGGAATGTCGTCGGAGCTAACATCGCTCTCATTGTCGGACAGAGTGCGACTGGGGTGAGGCATGGCGATCCAGTGGACTGGGCCAGGGAATGAAGATAGAGGTAAAATTACAGAGTTGAAGGGACAAAGCTGTCACTTATCTCATTGAAGTCTCCCGAGTCCCGAGACCGCCCCAAGAGTTGTGAGACTGCTGGGGAGAAAAGATCGATTGAGGGCCATGGCAGTCGATATTTATAGGCGAGATAATGCAGGAAATGGACAATTCCCATCAAAGGAGCCATGGTTGGCAATCCAGTCCGCCAGGAGGGACGGCGGAGGAGCGAGGATAGGGCCCTGCGGCCGCCACGGTGCGAATGAAGAAGGTCTGGAACGGTGGATCCAGGCACCAGACACAGCGGACATGCAGAGCGGGTGGCAGTAGGGCTTCGGCCGTGGGCTTTATTTCACGTGACCATCGGTGAGCGAGAGGCCTAAAACGGCGCCCGAAGCGGCCGTTTCTGGCCTCTCATTCACCGTCTCATTCATATTAGTAGTATTATATAATTTTATTCTATAGATAAGAACTTCTTAGACCAGAATATAATAGGGTACTATATTCCTTAGTTATTTAGTTATAAGAGAATTCTAGTTATTCTAAAACCTAATATATTAGTTTTAAGTTAAATAGGCTTTTCTAGATTAAAGTAATAAAAAAGAAGTATAGTTAAGAAGATATAGAGAAGATCTTAAAATACCTTTAATTCTCTGTTATTTAGTTTAATACTT